CTTTAGTTTCTCCTGATCACATTATTTGCCTTTTTATTGTTGAATTTTCAAAAGATTCAATTTTTTAATTTATTATTTATACTGTTTTTCTCCTTTCAAATTCTTTGCTTCCTTAATTCATTCTGTGGGTGTGTTTTATGGGCTTGAGGCTATGCCCAACAGTGACCAGCCCATCTGGTACCAGGATGCCAGAGGTGGAACACCAGCTAGCAGAGCAGGGCTGAATCTGGTGAAGAGCAACAGCCTCCTGATACAGGGTGGTGAAAGGGAGTGAGGGGCTTAGAGGATTCACAGGATAACAGAGTGGGTGTAGGAGATTCATTGGCTGTGGGGTGAAGGATGACCCCTAGTCAAGCAGGGGTGCTCGGCCTGATAAAAACCTAGGCAGGCAGCAGCATGGGAACATTAGGAGAAGGGCCTTCAGGACCCTCACGAAGTGTGCTCCTGCAGATGGCCAGCTCACGTCTTCCTCTCTCTTTCTTGGAACTTCTCATCATGTTTTGACAAAAGCACTCTTCTAAGCCTGGCTTTGCCCAGGGGTATTTTTAGACCGTGACTCAGCAGGATAGAATTTTTCAGAATCCTCGTGTTGAGCGTGGTCCCAGCCCTAGGCTTCCTGAGGGCGGCACAATGTAGACAGAGCTCTGTGCCAGCGTTGTGTTCTCCTTTGGAGGTAGAAAGTTCACACACAGGCTGCGAAGTAGAAGCTTTTTGAAAGGTAGTACCAAGAACTGACTATCAAAAGCAAGAATGAAAATGAAAAACAAAGGTACACAAAACTCTAAGAGAGAGCTTTACAGTAATCCCTGGCATGCATGTTTCTGTTGTCTCAGATACCTGCCTTCCCCTCTGCTCTCCAAACCCACCCTTCCTCCCTCCTCCAGGGCTGTATCCACCCAGCCTATTGTATAAGTCCACACCCTTGAAGCCAAGGCACGCTCAGATTGTCTGTGCCTCTGGTCACCTCACAACTTTCCAAGACACTCCAGGGCTGCCCCCTGAAAATGCCCCTTATTAAATGACACATGACTATATATGGGGAATGCAGGTTTATTTTCTCTTACAGTACTGCAGATAAGTGACATAACGCTGTTAGGTCAGGGGTAAGTTTTTTTAATAGGTCACCTATTAAATATGTGGGTTTGACAGGATAGAGGGCCATTGTCAAATCTCTTATACTGTTCTCTTAGAGTGAAAACAAAGACACATACAGATAAATGAGTGTTGCAGTGCTTTTCTGAAGCTTTAGTTATCGATACTCAAATTTGAATTTCATATTATTTTCATATATCGTGAGATTGTTTTCTATTGAGCCTCCCCAACACTTAAAAATGTAAAAATTATTTTCTATATGCTGGCTATACAAGCACAGAGGCTGGACCAGATCTGCCTACTGGCCATGGTTTGCCAAAGCTCAGAATAGCTCAGAAAAGCTGCACCACAAAGCCTGTGCCTCTTCCATAACAATCATCTGAATGGTGTCCCAGTTCTGACAGCAGGGCCAGCCCCCCATCCTCACCCCCAGGCTGACAGACTAAGACTGTCATCCCCTCACTTTTTGGATCTCAACTGAGATGCCGCCTTCTCTGAGGAGTCACCTGGGGCTCAATGCTGGCTTGGGTGACCTTTCCCACTTCCACACATGATGTACTTCCCAAGTTCAGATGGGCTCTGAATCTCACACTTCCTGTATCATCATAGTATACACACAGTATTATAAGGGCTGATAACACTGGTGTCCCTCCCTACCCTCCAGCTCAGTGGCCCAATGAGGCCAGGGTCCCCAGGGTTTATTACTGAATCTCAGTGCTTGACAAGCTCAAAATAGAACAAAACCAAAGACTATCTTAGTGCTTATTGATTGAATGAATTATTGAGGAAATATATGAATGAATCTTCAAAATATTTGAAGCACTCCAGGAGATTAAGGAGATCAATGGACCAAGGATATAAAGAACTTAACCCATGAAAACTTACAAGCTAATTAGAAGATACTGTGAGCTACTAAATGACTTGAAGAAAGAAGAAAGGTAAAATAGTTAAAGAAGGTTTAATGAAAAAGTGGGCCTTGAAGGCGAATAGATGGAATAAGTAGAGGGAAAAAACATTCAGGGTTGTTATTCTAGAAAGAAGAATTAGCAAGCATGTTTAGGTCTGGTTCTTTTCTACCAGACTTACTCCTTTGAAGTACTGCCTCTGAAACTCATGGTTTTAATGAGTGGGATTATCAGGGAGGAGTGAGAGGAGATGCAGGGTTTCCTCACTAAAGAGCATTACTTACTTACTTTCTTCCAGAGACACAGATGTGCACACCGTGGCCTCTCTGTTAAAGCTCTATCTCCGAGACCTCCCAGAGCCTGTGGTTCCCTGGAGCCAGTATGAAGGGTTCCTGCTTTGTGGACAGCTCATGAACGCAGACGAGGCAAAGGTTGGTGTCTCTTTGGTTAGTTGTCTTGCTTTAGAAGAAAATGATGGGTTTCCCAAACAGACTTTGTGGTAGGGGACAGTGGCTTAGGGTCCCCCACACACTTTGGGGAATACTTTGTCAAGCTGGGACTTCCTTAGCAGCAGAAGGAAGTTGGTACCAATCACAGTGATTTCATGGGCTATTGTAATTCAGTAAGGAAGTGGACCACAATCAAATGTCTCAGACTCACTTATAAAATAATGAGAATAGGAGGCTACGCTGAAAAGACTTTCAAGTACTGTGATGGTCCTGAAACATGCTGGGACACAAGGACAGGCTAACAAAGCAAGCTGGAAAAGAGATATGGACTGGAACTGTTCAAGCTTTGTAATAGGCAGTAGATGTCAGGTGGATCATCCAAGAATGCATTTGCCAGTCAGAAGAAGGATACAGAGAATTCCTTTGATCTTTTCAGCCACAGCTGCCAGTAGGGTCTATAATCACCATCTTCTATATCAGGCCTATGAGAGTACACAAGTCTACCACCAGGATTTTTGACCCTGTATAAATCATTTCCAGAGATGCCAGACAAGCAATATCATACACTAGAGTCATGTTGACAAACAGCCAACCAATGAATTCGATAAAAGCCAACTAACAACAATAAAATTTTGATTGTTTATAACCAACATATTTAATAAAATTTTGATTGTTTATAACCAACATATTTAATACTGAATGCCTCATGAATATATTCGTGCTACTCCATTAATATGGGCAGCCTAATGCTCCTCTTTAGGTAGTGGCTTTTATCATAACTTACAGTAAAAGTTCTTTGTGGCAAAGTGGCACATAGAAAAAACTACAGTGAAGACCAATATTTAACTTTGATTTTTTTCCTTAGGTAAATTATGTATCTTTTGTGAGATTCACTTTATTCACTTGACCATTAGAACTTTCTACAATGATGGAACTGTTGTTACATGTCTGCATTGCCCAATATGCTAACCATTAGCTACATGTAGCTATTAGGCCCTCAAAATATTGTAAGTGCACATAAGGAATGAAATTCTTCATTTTAGTTTATTTAAATTTAAACACCCATAGGTAGCAAGTAGTTCCTGTGGACAGCACAAATTTAGACCATTTTGAGAATATCTATATACAAGGTTATCTGAGGATCAAAGGAGGTGATATAAGTGAGGGTTTTTTGGAGATGTTTAAAACTTTTTTTAAAAAATGTAGATATAGGGATAAGTTTAGACTCTGCTCTGCTTCAAAATTTGTCAGAATGAAAAATGCCTGCCTTAACCGTGTGAAGACAAAAACATGAGCCTCTCCATCCCGACTGACAGTGGAGAACTTCATGATTTTCACTGTTTCAAAAATAGGATGCAAAGAAAATAATAATGATGCAGCCATCATGCTGTAGCTATTCTAGATGAAAATTGAAAAGTATTAAATCACAAGATCAGATGTAAGCTATTTCAAATGTGATTTATAATTTTTTTTGGATGAGGGGAGAAGAGGATGTGAAAAGAATTAATTTATGTTGGAATATCAGTTCACCCTTATGGAAGTAATAAAATGTTATGGAATAAACTTTAAAATTTGACTAAAGGGATAACCATTCAGCTGGCATCTGCTTTATCTCTCAGTTCTGGGGAGAATAAAGAGACCACTTAGATGGAGTTCTGATGAGACTCCATCCCTAAACTTCCTCACATTAGACCATTTCTCCCAGCCACCCCTAATCTCAATATGCTGAGAATTTATATGTATAGAGCAACACTGGCAAGACAGAGGGACCATAGTCTTTTTTCATTGGTGAAAATATGATAAAGGTGGTCACTAGGAGACGTGAGTCTATAACAACTTTTGCCAAGAAATTACAACTTGGCTAAAGAGGAGAGACACTCTGGAGCAGGCACTCTGGATTGGAGGGTCTATACCTTATCACTGTGTGATGCCTGACAGACCTTCAGGGAATGCTTTGTCTAGGAGAACAGCTCACGTTTGTGATGAAGGGCTTCCTAGGTCTGAGGAAGTTCCACAGACCTTGCATGAATTGTGTCCCATCATAAGAAAAGTCATAGTGGTGGTGGAAAAGAGCAAAGAGCTCCCCATCTCTCTGCTTGCTGGTGCTTGGAATATTTTGCCTTCTTTGATTGACCCACCTGACATCCGTGACTGTCATAAAACTAGAAGAGCCCAACTTTGCACCTTCCCTGCAGCTTGGTCAGCCCGTCTTTTGTCCCAGCAGGTCTCAGCAGGGCCACATGTTTGAAACCATGGTTCCTTCTTAGGAACATTTGAAACCAAGGTGTTCCTTCATAGGAACATCTTCCCTTCTTTACCCATATTAAAAGTGATCTTGAGCTACTGATTGTGGTCCAGTTCTTTGGCAGACTATCACATTGCAAATAATCTGTGCAAGTGTGAGTTGTCAAATAGCACCTATTGTAGTGAGATGGGACAGCATAATGACAACCAAACTTATAAATTACTCTGTACACAAGTTATGGCTTTCTCTATACTGTATCTTGAAACTTGCTGAGAATTTATAGAGTTCCAAGTAATTCTTTCATACTATTCCCCAAACCATAAGATCAGGAGTGGTTGCCAAGACATGATGGCCAAAGTGACATTTCTGTGCAGATATGCCACCTCCGCTGCCAGCTCTCATTGCTGGCAAGAGGCAAGTCTTGCTTAATGGTGTTAAAATGTTCTTCCTAGGCTCAGCAGGAGTTGATAAAGCAGCTCTCCATCCTTCCGCGGGACAACTACAGACTCCTGAGCTACATCTGCCGGTGAGAGTTCTTGGGGTCCACTCTGTACTTTTCAGCCACATTGAAAGGAGGCCCATAGTCAGAGGAGAAGGGACTTACATTTGGCATCACCGAGATTTTAGTTGAGAACTTCGGAAAGTCAACTCTATTTACATAGCACATGGGATGAGGGGAAGAGTGTTTGAAATTCGTGTTTCCACAAGACAATGTCCAAGAACTCCCCAACACAAAGTTAGCATGATTCCACATCTGTTCTAGTGTTTTCCAGAGTTCGGGAAGTGCCACAGAACCTTGAGTCCTTGTTTCTAGAGCTGTCTCTGGCCCCTTGACTCTGGACCACAACCTAATGACCCAGAGACATTCATTCTGGGCCACCCCTTTTCCTTCAGTCCTTTCTGGGAACCTTCCAGGTACCACTTCTGTGGCAACATCTGTCTTGTGAATAGTCTAGAACTGCTGGGTTGGGAACCTCAATCTTTGTCACAAACAGACCTTATATTTTAAAAATGCAGCATATGACCAATACTTTCTTACTTTGGAAAAAATGAAGATACAGTAAACTATAAATGATAAATAAAAATTACTTACAACCCCTTGTCTAGTACCAACAACACCTGGGCTTATATCTTTCTGGGTGTTTCTCCACATTTTTATACCCAACTGAAATTTTACCAATATATGTATATATCCAGATCCACATATGGTTTTATCTCACTTTTTGGCTTGCAATTATATTGTGTTTCCCTTATGTTATAAAATAGGATTATTAGTGACTCCATAAGATTTTTACAATGTCTCATCACTTGGGTACATCACCCTTTATTTAATATTATCACCATATTTTCTTTTCTTTTTTATTTGTATTTTAGAGAAGGGTCTAGAGTGTGTTCAGGGTCTCAGTACTATATCAGACTCGTAGTGATCCTCCTGTTTACAGCCTCCCAAGAGCTGGGATTACAGGCGCACACCACCATGCCCAGTCTCAATTGCCATCTCAGCGCATGCCAGGGGTGGGGCTGGCATGGCAGGCCAGGGATATCGAACCCCCGACCCCTGCACCTGCTTGCAGGTACTTTAATCTGCTGAGCTATTTGACTGGCCCATATCTCCATATTTTCATTTCATGTTGCTTCCATCTATCCATACAAATCTGCTCAGTTTTCTTTTTACAAGTGAATCTGAGAGTTTCATGGACCAAATGTGTAGAAGAATAATAAAAACTGATTGGTAGCTATTGTGCACCTGCTGAGCATTAGAGATGCATGGTGTCCTCAACCAAGTGAGGAGGTTCCACAGATTTTCCTTGTCTAAGACCTTCTCGCTGATCAAATTTTCCTCTCTGGAGATGAGGGGGCGATGGCTGCTGGCAGGTGGGAGGTAAGCCTATGATAGCAGGCAATGGGGCAGTCAAGTGCCCCTGCTAGTCCTTCCAGTCACCTCTCAAGCCACCCGAACTGGGTCCTTTCACCCACTTACATGATTCTCCACCCCAGGCCCTGCCCCATCCCTGGCAGAGTGTGCACACAGTCTGTCATGGGTTCTCCTTCCTGAATGATCTTGTTAGAGATCTAGTTAGAGAGAAGCTAACTTTGTGAGCAGAACAGGCTGGTTTTATTCCTGACACAGAAGACATGACTTGGAATCCAACAAGTGCCTCATTGGTACCTAGAAGGACTTCCCTTGGCAACTTCCTGTTTTCTACTATGGGATTTCTTGGCTGCCCACAGGTTTCTACATGAAATCCAGCTGAACTGCGCTGTTAACAAGATGAGTGTGGACAACCTGGCCACTGTAATTGGTGTGAATCTCATCAAGTCAAAGGTCGAGGACCCGGCTGTGATCATGAGAGGTACATAAGGCTGGTCCTGCGATGAAAGCGAGCATGGAGGAAGGAACAGGAATATCGTTCCTAATGTCTGTGCCCTGCTCTGCTGTTTACAAAGCACATGCAGCTGATTATTTTGTCTGAATTGTATTAAAAGTACTATGAGGTAGGCAGAGATAAAATTAGATCAATTTTCCAGATTACAGTGGAGAGAGAGAGAGAGAGAGAGAGAGAGAGAGAGAGAGAGAGAGAGAGAATGAATTTCTTCAATGGTTATCCAACACAGTGGGGTACCATGAAAAGAATGTTTCCTAGTCTTTTGTTACCTTTCTATAGCTTTAACTAGACAGAGAAATATTTCATTTTATAAGCTATCTCATCAAAAGGCTGCTGTAATCTGGACTGAGAAAGTTCTGAGTGTGTTCGCTCTGTAAGCAAGTCTCTGCATAGAGTATGGACGTCCGCCGTGGGTGTGAGGAGGCAGTACACAGGACACACATTCGCTATGTGTCCATTAAGAAACCAGAGGGCCACAGCCAGAAAGAAAAATGTCTTCCTTTCCTCCTGTTACACTGCCTACTTTTCTGATTAAAAACTGACCCAGGGCAATATAGGCTGAAAAGAACTTCAGAAAGCCCCCTCTTCTACCCTACTTCCACATTTTCTTCTAGTCTATCCTTTTCACCACAAGCTCCCACTCAGAGTAATTAAGAAGGGACCTGGGAGGAACAAAATGAGTTCTGTAGGCTCAGTGGCTTTAGGGCCAAGTTTGGATGCATAATGCTGGTGGGGAATTTTGAGGACATCCCATTTCCTGTCCTGTGATCCAGCACGATAGATCTCTCTTTTCTCTCTGTCCTTTCAGGGACCCCTCAGATCCAAAGAGTGATGACCATGATGATCAGAGATCATGAAGTCCTCTTCCCCAAGTCCAAGGACACACCCCTGTCACCCTCTGCCCAGAAAAATGACCCCAAGAAACTGCCAGTGCCTCGAAGCTCTGTGGGCTGGGATGTTGCCGAAGACCCTTCCATTTCTAGGACAGACAACTTCAGTAACACGGTGAGACACGGACAGCCTTTCTGCCTCCCTGCACCCTTCCTTTGAGCCAAAGAGTTTCATAGAAGAGCTGCACCAGGGTGGGCTTGGGGAGTGACAGATGCTGCTGTGACAGCGTCTCAGCTGGTGCAGAGCATGCAAGCACACCTGGACACCCTGGTCTCTCTCAGCGCAGGCTCTGTGGGCACCCTGGGGGCAGGCTTGTGACCTATTCTTTGCACCTATTCTCTGAAGGGTGGGCAACGGGTCCTCTAAGAAACCTCTCTGAAAGAGAAACCTCTTCATATACTGTATAGTCCAGGGCAGTTCAAAAGTTGTTGGAATTTCTGTGTGAAATTCCAGAAAGAGCTGGTTTCCTGCTAACCCTGAGACGTGATTCCTTGCTCAGAGTGTGTGGTGTTTCATGTACTGTTTCTCATTCCCCGATAAGCCTGCTCAGCAGTGTCAGCCCCTCATTTGAACTGCGGGGTTGGAACTCACGTTCTCAGTAGCCCGAAACTCTGCAGACTCCAAGACATAATGATTTGAGAGAAATAATTTGCAAAGGTCAAATATTTTTAGGTATTTATAGAAACAAATCTTTTTCAAAAGAACATATGGACTTTATATACAGCCTGATTTTTTTACATGTGGCCAAGAAATGAATTTGAAATTTCTGTGGACCACATAACTTAAATTACCAATAGTGCTATTAATCCCACAGACAAAAAACAAAAATAGTAATGGGAGTGATGGTATTTTTTCTTAGATGAGGTTTGCCTGGACATAAGCAACTTACTAACATCCTAAAACTAAATTACAATTTCAAACTGCTCATGTTTCATGCATTAAAACCATCTCAGCAGTCCCTGAGCAGAGTGGTTGCTGTGCTCATATAAAAAGTCTCCTAATTTTCTATGAGCAGCCACCATGCCAGGAAATTTAAATCTATCACCTTTGGAGTCTTCAGCAGAACTCTGCAGGGCAGAAGCTGTCATTTGCATCTTTGACTGAAGAGCTGAGGCCAGAGAGGTTGAGCAGCTTGCCGGAGGTGGAAGCCCCAGCGTGCCCCAGGGTTGAGCTCAGTCTGCTTCCCACCTCAGGATGCGTGTGCCCTTGAACCCAGAGGGCAGTGCTGAAGCAGGTGCTCAGCCAGAAGGCCAAGAAAGCTTGAACTCTGCAGTTCTTGTTTTTCTGTTTTGAGTTTGCTCTCCCTCTTCCAGTCCCTCTCCTCCTCCCTCTCTCGAATTTAAAACTTGATGATATATACATATGATTCAAAAAATTAAAAAGAGAGAAAAAGTTAAACATGGAGAAGTCCTGTCACCTCCCCTAGTCC